AAAAAATGAGCCGGGCATGGTGGCACATGCCTGTAGTCCCAGCTACCTGGGAGGCTGAGGCAGGTGGATTGCTTGAGCCCGGGAGTCTGAGGTTGCTGTGAGCTAGGCTGACGCCACGGCACTCTAGCCCGGGCAACACAGTGAGATTCTGTCTCAAAAAAAAAAAGTCTTCATGAGTTGATCTTCAACACAAAACAGCACCTTTCGTTCCTCTGTTGCAGCCACTGACAGAGGACCTAAGTACGAACCATTTCCTGCATGCCACCTGCATGTACTATCTGTACTCCAGGGTTTAACAGAAAGGTCTTTTGTAAAAAAGATAAAAATGTCCTCCCCCCAAGGGCACAAGTTTATATCCCTAGGTCACACAGCTGTTTCACTTTTTAAATCTTCCTTCAGTGACAATTACTCCCATTTCAAAAACTTGGAACTGATCTGAAAATATTGGCACGTCTGCAGCCTGAAAGAAATCAGGCAGAAGAAAAAGGAGGCCTTAGGTTGGAATACACCAGTTCAAATTCGTAGAATGTTACAATTCATGTTCTGACGTCAAGAACCCTCCTGTACATGCTGTGTACACATTAGGAGGGAGAACAAGGAGAGCTACACTGGAAGAAAATAGTTCTATCTGCAAAAGCAAACTCACTTAACTACTTTTATTACAGCCAGATACATTGAAAATTTGGCTAGAAAAAAAACTCTCCTTACTTTAACTGTATTCTTCTGACGGCTTTTATTTTATGACCAGTATTCAGGAAATCAGGTTACAGGAGAATTAGAATGATGAAAACATTTCAAAATACACATTAATTCTGACCAGCAAGGTTTTGTTATCAATAAACTCCCCCGAGAGTTTCAAAATACCAATTAATGAACTGAATATTCCAAAGTCAAATCTCTCTACTTTTCAAAAAAACACCTTCTTCTGTTCTAGAAAAACAGAAGAGTAACTAACAATAGTGTGCTCAAGAATTTAATAAAGCAAAGCAAGTAAATCACTTGCTCTGTAAGTGGTGGCTTCTAGACTTAGCTTGGGCTAGATTCACGCTGGTAATATCGGTTCCAGGTTTTTTGGCTCCAGGATTCTTGTCTTTTAGATTCAATTAACCTTCCCTAACTACAAATTTACCATTTTTTGAGTGATCTCTAAATAAGCTTTACTCTTAAAGACTGTTTACAAGGTAACAAAAGTAGGAGAAAAAGGCACAAGAGTTACTTGTGTATTGATGTATACTCAGTGAATCCAAAATTACTACAAAATGCAAGCTACAAAAAGCAAAAACTCACGGAGAAGAATTACAGAATTTCTGAGACCACGTGAAAGGGCACATGGGAGAATGATAAAAGAATCCTGGTCAGAACTCAAACATTTAGAACACAGCCCCGAGAGATCTGGAATCTTAATAAGTATAATTCCATAATTAGAACTGTTTGTATTTTGTGGGTGTGTGTTATATGCCAGGCACTGGGCTAAGCATTTCGCATATATACTTTCAATTGATCCTCACAACCTGAGGGAAAAAAGTGATCATTACTTCCCCATTACACATGGGGAAACTGAGGTCTACAGAGGTTAGATAACTTACCTAAGATCACACATAAGTGGCAAAGCCCGGATCTGAACTTCGTCTTTCTGACTCCAAGGCCTGTGGACGTAAACCCCACTCTGTGCCACCATCCTGCTATGGCAATATCAGTATCTTATTTCCTGGGGCTTCCAACATTCAGTGCCCTGAGCTGCATCACTCATGATTTTGGTGAATATTGGGAGAAGTTCTATCAGCCAGAAGAGTCTTGAAACCCATCACTAAACCTGTTCTAAACAATACAATGCTATAATATTATGAATGGCTTAATAAAATAATTGTGATAGCATGAATAGGGGAAAAAGCAAAAATA